TCATGAAAGAGTAGCAAACATCCCTCCATCCATACTCACAAACTTTCACGTCTATAATATTAGCAAGATTATACTATAATTAAACAAAAAGAACTTACGTTTTGAAATCTATACCAATTATTTACTTTTGTAGTAAACAACATTGTAAGCAACAATTTATATTAAAAATTCGGCTTAACATATTGAAAAGGTAAACAAAATGTAACTCAAATTGCTGTTTTGTAAATCTTGTGCTCTCCCTTGTAATAATAACAATGCTGTGAGAGACGTGAGAGATTGGAATGTCTAAGCCTAAACACAAACGAAGGGCCAAATCGGTGTTCGTGCCACAATAACCCTTTGTCGAAAATTGAATTAATTATAAATAACTCGCTGTCATAATAAGGATTATTTTAATCACCTATATATAATTTTGTAGCAATCTATATATATAAACATACTATTGTTATTACAACCATAATAATATTATGTAATGTTATCTTTTACTTGGGTCTAAATGGCGCTGTGACAATTGTCTTAACAAAAAAAAATATGCCTCTAAAGCTTGATGTACTCGTAAATACATACAAACACCCAGACCGAAACAAACAATCATACTTATGAATACAAATGCTTGTACCGTGCGCGGAATCAAACCCGCGACCATCGGAAGTAAGGCTGTGTATAACTAAACCACCATGGCCGTAATTATGTTACTTTAATTTTATTCCTATTCCGAGGAAAACAATAAACCGCAAACACTATATAAGTGTTTCTTTTTCAATTCACTTGATTTTGAACGTATTTTAAAAGGACAACATAGTAAGGGTTTGGCTCAAATTGACCCTTACTAACTACTATTATCGGGAAATGTAGGATATCGGAAAATACTTATATGATTTTGCCCTTATTATCCAAATTGTTATATCTACTTCCGGCGAGTGCCGCTTGATCGAGAACAATCGATGTTAAATTATCCGATAGTTATGGCCGATTAATCGAATACGTCAAATTCGCCCACACTATCGGCCCTCGAAAAAGTATGATTTACGCACCGATTGAGAATAATGACAATGTGATGATTGGTGGGTGGAAAGCAATTTTAAAGGAATTACCAGTACAGTTCATTGACTCGGTATTGTAAGTAGATTATTTACCGAGGCAACCTTTGTAAAAAGTCGATGATGATGTTGGAATTTTTGGAATGGTGCACCCGTCTGCGCTGATGCTTTATACATTACTAGCAATTGGGTTTTATTTTATTAGTCCACTATATTGATAATCCCCTTTCCCCCGGTGTGAGTATTTCAGTCACACTTATATCAGCCACCAAGAAGCTTATAATCTTTATATCAAATGTCATTAAGAAACGTTCAGCGTACGTTTAATCGTGAAAACATAGCAAACAAACGCATAAACAAACAATCAAAAAGCCTCATCAAATAAGCAAGTATACAGTGTCTTTTTCCTTCCACGTTTCCCATTACAAATACACGAAGAATAATAGGAGAAAAATAGTAGGAAACTGGAAATAAAATCCAAAACCACCAGACCAACATGGTAATAAAAGGTGTAGTGTAAATCCTCCTTTTCTGAGAGAAAATTTTGCCTTGCCGCAATGCAGCAGAAGATAGTGTTAGTAGTAAGAATTGAAGTTTTTCAATTTGCATTTTTTATCCCACAAGAAAAGGTACTTAATTTAATTTTTGTTCATTATTACTGGAATAGTTTTAAAATATAAGTTTTTATTAGTTATTATATTATTATATATTATATTATCAGTAAGTTGTATATTGATAAATCATATTTGTATTATTTTTATTATTAATATGTTTTATTTGCATGCCAATTAGGCATAGTATTTTATTCTAAGCTAAGAACTATACTTGTACCGTGGCTTTTTCAATAAATGTATGAAATTTAACATTCCGGCTTGCTTCCGCGATTGTCGTGAGTTCTTTGCCCGGAAATTATAAACATTTGTACTCAAAATCGTGTTACATAATAAACACACACAATAGTTAATACATTGAGAAACACTATTGGAAAGAAGAAATTCTTTATAATAGATGTTTCTTTTTGTATTTTTTTAAAGATGATTATTTAATTATATCTTTTGTCAGTTATGCAATACCCAAAGCTCAAACTTTGGGATTAAATTGCGCTGTGTGAATTTTCCAGGGTTTAAATAATTTTATTGTAATAATAACCCTGTACAATTCACACAGCGCCATCTAGTTCAAAGTTAAACAAGCTAAGCAGATCATGTGTTAAGGGACTGCTAAATACCGACTGTCATATATACGTAGATTTTTTATTATTCATATAGATAATAATACTAAATCTACGTATACAACTAATTTTTAAATTGCTGTACTATTTATTTAGAAACAAATTACATTCCATTCTAATTTGAGGAGAGAATTTATAACATTTTATAGCGTGAGGTCAAAAGACATTAAACGAGCCGCAGTGGTGTCGCAAATTGTGCGTGCTCTAGCAGACACGCAGAGTGCTTTGGGTAACGAACTGACATATTTTTTTCTATTTAGACACTTAGATAGACCTATACTACTTATATGTCTTACAGTAGTAATTTCAGAATAAAATTAATTCGTAATATTACAAATTAATAATTTGTTTATTTCATTAAGCTCCGTTTTTCAAGGAACTAATCGAAAAAGCATCAAACAGACGAATAAACACACTTCTGTATTTATAAAATCGTTAAATAAATATTACGATCTAATCTTATCTTAATCTTATTAACATTATAAATGGCGAAAGTTTGTAAGTGAAGATGTTTGTTACTCTCTCGATTCCTCGCACGGCACATACATTTGTATTCATGAGTATGATTATTTGTATCGGTCTGGGTGTTTTCTATATATATATATTATGTATGTATTTACAAATAAAAAAAGTATCTATTTATCAGTTGTCTAGTCAGTAACACAAGCTCTGCTTAGCTTGGGTCTAGAAAGATAGTATTATTCAGGAATATTATTATATTATTATTAGATATAAGTGTAGTAATTGTTACTTGAAATAGATCACTTTTCTTGTTTCAAAGGTTGATGCATTTTCCCCCCAGATACATAAGAGTGTTCTAGGATTACTCCTAAATTACTTTAATAAATAATTATTCTCACCTAAATAATATCATAGTATAAATATATGAATAATACTGATTTATTCTTTATTAAGTTTAATTAATAACATTGGCTCCTTACAAAAACTATGCGACAAATATTTCGTACAACCAAATCAGCAAATGGCTACATTTGCTGATTTGGTTATACGAAATATTTAACGGTAAATCTTAATCTTGGTATATAGGGTTAAAACTATATTAACATACTATTTGAATAAATGTTTTCAACAAACACTTTGTATTGCCTTTGACTACAAGCTTATTGAATATTCAATTTATATTTGAAAATATATATTTACTAAGTGTGTAGTAAAAAATAATGAAAATTGTTTAAGAATAAATAAATAAATAACTGTATTAAAATAAGTAGGTACATAATTTTTTAAAATGAGTTCCACGTGGGGACTTTCAGAATTTAGATGGAATAAGCTGAGTGACTAAAATAACTTTAAATACTTCGTGATGGAATGTTCATAGAAATATTTGTTAAATGAATTATTTTCGTACCATAGTTAGAATTTTATGAGCAGATAATTAAAAATACTTGTTAATATTAAAATAAATATGCTGGTAGTTTCTGGTAGTCCAAAGTAGAAGAAATAGTTTCATAGATAAATTAGATAGAAATATTATATTTAGATAAGTATAGTACCAACAATGACATTTAAAAAACTTTAAAATTTTTGACTCAATATTGACGAAATTTATATTATTTTGTACTATAAAAATATTATAAATAATCAATAAGAATTATAATATTATAAAGAGATATAGAATTACACTAAATAAAACTATGAGAAGAATTAGCCAATACAGCAACTTCTTCTGTATCTACATTTTCATTATAAAAATAATGCTATAACTATCTGAAGTTAATTTTTCATATCATGTCAAAACAAATTTTCATTACAATAGTAAGTCCATAAACAATTCATCTGAAATACTTGCAATGTTTCAGTACTTTGTAATGGTTATTTTAAGATAGTGTTCCGCTTGCCAGCGAATGTTGCATGTAACATTATATAATGTATTGAGAATAAATTTTATTTTAAAGAACACGTTGTGGTTCCTGTTGGATTGAACTCCGCAGCTCCTCAGAATACCGGCAATTACCTGACTGATATCGCATTTAGCATGACGAATCGAGGTTCCGTACGTCCATCGTCATCCCTCTAAGGGATCCCTTTCTTAATTCTATCCCTTAACCATATTTTCGTGAAAGACTACTCAGCATAAATTTTGGTCTTACTGTCTTGCTGTTAGCTGTCCTGCAAGCTCCTTTACCTCCTGCATTTATGCGGTAAAAAAATAGTTTTAACGACAGGTTCTTAAGGACTGTATATTATTCTATATAAAGAAAAACAACATTAGCTGTTCGGAAAGACGAGAATTTTGAAAGTTATAATAATAGAAGATCTGTTCGCGACTATTGTACATATTTGATTATTGTTAGCTTAATAAAATTTATAATTGTAGTAGTTTCAATTCCCTACTAGATAGAATTAAATATAATTGTATTGTAAAGTTTAAATTAATAAATAAAGGAGCGAGTAGAGGTGGTCTTTTCGCGCTATCCGTCCCGCTCGCACCTATGTGCGTAACACAATCGTTACCTAGTACGTGACACGGTGCGAGCGGGCGGAGTATAAATATAGGTGCCGAACGCGGCACAATTCATTCCGCTTCCATCGCTAGTACAGACCACCGAACTCTGCTCGAGAGGATAATTACACTTGTCTTTCTTGTTTCCACCTGCACCCGCAACCTTACAAACAAGTACGGGGAATAGATACCCGTACATCTGGTCCTTCGAGAAGCCGGATTGTTGGAAGAAGAAAGCAAGACTGCACAGAGATCAAGATCACAGATGCCAACAACAAGAAGCCAAAGAACAGCCATGGAAGCTCAATCAAACGAAGAAAACACCGCCGCCGTCACGTCGCCTGTCGCCGCCACGCCGACCGTCGCCGCCACTACGTCGCCTGCTGCCGCCACTACGTCGACCACCACGACGTACACGTCCTCGGAACCTACTGCTACCACGGAGACTTCCGCGGAGACTTCTGCGGAGACTACCACAACAATTCCAAGGGCGCCGCGCACCACAGCTTCAAAAAAGAAGAAAGAATTGGCTAAAGCCCGAGAAGAATTGCTACGCAAGGAGGTAGAACTGGCCGCCGCACGCGTCGCAGCATTGGAGGCAGACACGGACGACGAAGAGGAAGACGAAAATGAAGAGGACGCCGCCACATTAAGAAGAGAGAGGACTACGGACTGGATTCGCCGGACGAGCACATTGGCACTCACAATGGAGCCACACACAGAGACCGCCGACTTGCATCAGGGGATTAATATCTCATCGATACCCGCCGGAGAGGGAACGAAAGCGCCGCAGCCGCAGCCGTGCAGCGACGCATTCCGACGGGACCATGCAAGCCACAACGGTCCGAGGGAAGACTCCATAGCACCAATGATGCCAACGAAGAAAGAAGAGGATTCACTGAAGGGGGGCATCGACTATAAGGAATTGGCGACTGCAATGACTATGGCAGCTCGCGCAATTCAGCCCTCCACGGTGCCGCGAGTCACAGACCTACCACCCTTCAACGGCGCGTCAAGCGAATGGCTGCCCTGGAAGATGGCCTATGAAGAGTCTGCGGGGCAGCTGACCGAGCAAGAAAACTTGGGTAGATTACGTCGGTGTTTAAAGGGTGCGGCCAAAGAGGCTGCACACTGTCTTTTCGTCGGGGATACGTCTGCAGCAGAAGTAATACAATTACTTGCTACGAGGTTCGGCCGTCCAGGAGCACTCGTGATGGCCGAGATGAATAAACTTCGTGCGCTGCCGCGGCTGTCAGACAACCCCAAGGACATCTGTCTATTCGCGTCCAGAATAGCCAATGTCACTGCAACAATTCAAGCCCTGAAGAAGAACCACTATTTGTACAACGAAGAAGTGACAAGATCCATCACGGAGAAGATGCCTTCTGCGCTACGATTCAAATACTACGACTTCGTAGCAGAACAGCCAGCTGATCAACCGGACCTGATAACGCTCTCCAAGTTCCTGCAAATCACCGCAGCCAGGTGCGGTGACTTCGCACCCGCCGAAATAATAGTAAATGAAGACCGGCGGGAGCCAGCAACGAAGAGAAGCGTGAAAACATACATCACGCAGGAGAAACCGACTTCACCGCCGTGTCCGACGTGCAACAGGGAGGGACACGCACCACCCGATTGCATCACTGTGAAGAACGCCGAGCCACAAGCAAGATGGGAGATAGCAAAAAAACACAGGCTATGTTGAGCCTGAGGATAAAAAGATTTCGTCACAACTGCAAGACGAAGAGATGCAACGTTGGTGGGTGTACACACCTACATCACCCACTCCTGCACGTCGACACCATAGAGAAGAAGGACAGCGAGCCCTCCGATGATAAAGCAGCCGCAGTCGTCGCGTCTGCGAGAGAAGATAAGAAGATCGCATTCCTCAAGATAGTGCCGATACAAGTGATCGGTCCCAAAGGAACGTGCGATACATACGCACTCCTGGACGACGGCGCAACGTGCACCATCATCGAAGAAGCAACAGCGAAGCAAATCGGCGCCACTGGCCCTCCCGCACCCTTCTACATAGAGGCCGTGGCCGGGACACGTATAAACGCCGATGAATCGAAGCTTGTCCACTTCACAATACGGGGACGAAGATCGGAAGATCATGCCGTGTCTGCGCGAACCATGAAGAAACTACTGTTATCTCCACAAACAGTATCACGCAGCACAATAGAAGACTGTCCACACTTGTACGATATAATAGATCAGCTGACATATGAAGAAGGTCAACCGACGGTTCTGCTGGGTCAAGACAACTGGCATTTGCTGCTCGCACATGAAGTCAGAAGAGGCAATAAGACACAACCGGTCGCATCACTCACCGACCTGGGTTGGGTGTTGCACGGCACGGGAGCGGCGAGAGCGAGACAGCAAGTGCACAGAATCAGTCACTTAGTCGACGGGCAAGAAAATGAAGAATCCATAGAACGATTAATGAAAGAACACTTCGCTCTCGAATCACTGGGCGTCACACCGAAGCGCTCATACAATGAAGAGGAACAACGCGCGCTGAAAATATTGCAAGAAAAAACTCGCCCGTTACCGGCGGGAGGCTACGAGACCGCGTTGCTATGGAAACGCGACAACGCAACGCCGCCGGCTAACTACGACTCAGCAATGCGACGCCTCGAGTTAATTGAGAAAAAACTCGACAAGAATGAAGACATGATAGAGAACAGATATAAACAGCAAATTACCACGCTGTTAGAAAGGGGATATGCAGAAATCGCCCCACCGGTGAAGACTGAACGAGTATGGTACCTGCCACACTTCGCTGTCATCAACCCACAGAAACCGGACAAGCTGCGCATCGTGCACGACGCCGCCGCCAAGACAAGGGGCATTAGTCTCAACGACATGCTGCTGTCGGGACCCGACCTACTCCAATCACTACCTGGGGTCCTCATGAGGTTCCGACAGCGCCGTGTGGCGGTCACAGCGGACATCAAGGATATGTTCATGCTTGTCACAATACGAGAAGAAGACCGAGACATGCAACGGTTTCTATGGAGAGGAGATCGACGCCAGGGTCCAGCTGTCGAATATAGGATGAAGAGCGTCATCTTCGGGGCCACTTCGTCGCCATGCACGGCGATATACGTAAAGAACAAGAACGCCGAACTACATAAAGAAGAGTTCCCGGAGGCGGCTGCAGCGGTGGTTGTCAATCACTATGTTGACGACTACCTCGCTAGCTTCGACACTGAAGAGCAAGCCGTACGAGTCTCAAGCGAGGTCGCCTACATCCACAGCCGGGCGAACTACTATCTTCAGCGCTGGGCATCGAACTCGCGCCATGTACGAGAAGAGTTCTCACATAGAAATGAAGAGAACATGGTGCAACTCGACGCTGAGAAGATACTGGGAATGGTGTGGCGGCCTGAGGAAGACAGTCTCGGGTTCAACTTCAACGGGAACAAACTTCCGTTACATATCATACGAGGCGAACGCACTCCAACGAAGAGAGAAGCCCTCCGCGCCGTTATGTCGCTGTTCGACCCATTGGGCCTGGCCACACCCGTCACAATACAAGCCAAGAAGATATTACAAGAAACGTGGCGCACGGGTATCGGCTGGGACACCGAACTGCAAGAACGGGAAGCAGCAGCGTGGCGGAGCTGGATATCGCACGCACAGCAGTTACCCCACTTGGTAATACCACGGTGTTACCCCGGTGTGGCGACGGCACGTACGACGGAGCTTCACACATTCGTCGACGCGAGCTCAGATGCATACGCCTGTGTCGTATACTGGCGGGCCGTATGCGTGACCGGCGAGGTGCGTGTGTCACTCATCGCAGCCAAGGGAAGAGTGGCCCCTTTGAACAAGGTCACCACTATACCACGTCTGGAGCTGCAAGCGGCCGTACTAGGGAGCCGCCTGTCACGCACGGCTGTCGAAGAACACGATCTGAAACCTGCCCGTCGTGTCTACTGGTCGGATTCGCGTACCGTACTGTCTTGGTTACGCACCGGGCCGCGTGCATTCAAGCCCTTCGTCGCTCACCGAGTCGCTGAAATTATGGAAGATACGAAAACGAACGAGTGGAGATGGGTGCCGACGGCCGACAACGTCGCGGATGATGCCACACGCGACGTGCCACACCACTTCACTTCAACACACAGATGGTTCCGGGGGCCGCAGTTTCTATATCGACCAGAAGAAGAGTGGCCTCATGAAGGCGATTCCCACCATACGGTAAATACAAGCGAAGAGCGCGCCCACACAATACAAGATGCAACACGATTATCTCGAGCGTTGCCCGATCCCGCGCGATTCTCCGACTGGATGAAAATCGTCCGCAGTACGGCCCGCGTATTGCAATTTATAAATAAATTGCGACCACTCAAGCAACACTGCGCCGTCGCTACCCACAAGAGAAACAAAAAACATGAAGACGATCCCACGTGGCGAAGCAACAAGATAAGAAAACCAGAACCGTCGAAAAGAAAAAACGTACGTGCGCCTGTGTGTTATATACCCATAGACACACACTACTTAGAACGCGCCCGTCGGCTATGGATCCGCTCAATACAGGAAGAGGCATTCAGCATCGATATAGCGGCGTTGCGACGCAATAAACAACTGTCGTCGAGTAGTCGACTTATACAGTTGTCCATTTTCATCGACGAAGACAATGTGCTGCGACTCCGCTCAAGGGTGTCGGCTGCCGCCAATCTGTCCGCGGAGCAACGGGAACCACCCATAGTCGACGGTCAACATGTATGGGTACGCCTGTACATAGCATGGGTGCACAGAAAACTTCATCACGGGGGCTTCGAAACTACTGCGAACGAGGTGCGTCAACACATGTGGGTGTTGCGCCTACGACATGCCGTTCGTAGTGAATTGAAGAGATGCCAAACGTGCCGCATCAGGAAAGCAGCACCAGCACAACCATCAACGGGCAACCACCCACGCAGCAGGCTGGCACATCATCAGCGGCCGTTCACCTTCACCGGCCTAGACTACTTCGGGCCGATGACAGTGACGGTGGGTCGCACGCATCAGAAGCGGTACGGCGTGCTGTTCACATGTCTCACCACGAGGGCTGTGCACCTGGAGATCGCCGGCAGCCTCAGCACCGACTCCGCAGTAATGGCTCTGCGGCGCTTTATAAGCCGCCGCGGGTGCCCCACGGAGCTGTGGTCGGACCAAGGCACCAACCTCAAGGGTGCCGACCTCGAGATGAAGAAAGCAGCCGCTGAAGCCATGGAAGAAGAGTCGTCGGTGCGCTTTATACGCTGGCGCTACATACCACCGAGCGCTCCCTTCATGGGCGGCGCCTGGGAACGACTAGTGCGCAGCGTGAAAACCGCGCTGGCCGCAACGCTGCATGAACGAGCCCCGAAAGAAGAAGTCCTTCTCACCCTGCTGGTGGAAGTAGAACACACGCTCAACAGTCGACCTCTCACCCACGTGTCGACATCAGCAGACGACGAGGACGCACTCACCCCCAACCACTTCCTATTGGGAGGTCCGTCCCGCGTACCACTGCCGGGAGCTTTCGCTGAGGGCGATACGGCGGGCAGGAAGGAGTGGCGCGCCAGTCAGTGGCTCGCTGACTGCTTCTGGAGGCGCTGGGTAACCGAATATTTACCCCAGCTACAACACCGGCGGGAGCCCCGAGCTACACACGGAGTCATCAAGTTAGAAGACTTGGTGCTGGTGGCAGACGGCAACTTGCCTCGGAACTCCTGGCCGCGCGGCGTGGTGGTGGCTACGTATCCGGGACCGGATGGTGAAATACGGGCGGTCGACGTGCGCACTAACAAGGGGATACTTCGGCGACCTACGAAGAAATTAGTAATCCTGCCAATCGAGCAACGCGAACTCGAATTAAATACAGCTTAGCTGCGGCGGGAGATATGTTCGCGACTATTGTACATATTTGATTATTGTTAGCTTAATAAAATTTATAATTGTAGTAGTTTCAATTCCCTACTAGATAGAATTAAATATAATTGTATTGTAAAGTTTAAATTAATAAATAAAGGAGCGAGTAGAGGTGGTCTTTTCGCGCTATCCGTCCCGCTCGCACCTATGTGCGTAACACAATCGTTACCTAGTACGTGACACGGTGCGAGCGGGCGGAGTATAAATATAGGTGCCGAACGCGGCACAATTCATTCCGCTTCCATCGCTAGTACAGACCACCGAACTCTGCTCGAGAGGATAATTACACTTGTCTTTCTTGTTTCCACCTGCACCCGCAACCTTACAAACAAGTACGGGGAATAGATACCCGTACAAGATCGTATTCAAAATTTATAAAAAAATACAATAATAATATAAAAAGGTGCGTTATACACAAATGAAGGACTTGTTTTGTAGACATGCTGTATTTAATACTAACTCTATATACCTTTTCATGTCTGTTATTCATTTATAAAATACTATACCACCTAAATATACAACTGGAGTATTAATAAAGCTTTTACTAACAGGTGGCAGGATTTATTAAAATATAGAGCCAAACATGGAGCTTCTGGAGGTATATCCTAAAATACAGTTATAACGAATAAAAACATGTAAGCCGATTATATCAAAGCAAAAATAATCCGTCTTGGAGAACCGAACTTAAGAAAAGTGAGTCAAAATAAAAGATACTTTTTCTAAACCTATATTTAGCATAGAACGAGCTAATTATTCAATACTGACTGTTATTTATTTAGGGTATAAAAATAGTTCTGATAATCTTAAGATAAGTTTAATAAAATATGTACCTAGGTATATATTTTGTTAAACTTGTCTTAAGATACGTTCTTTATTCTAAAAACAGGCATGTTTAACTAGCTATCGGTGTACCTGATGGAAAATCTACCTTTGGCCGCATATTACAGTATTACAAATCCCATCAAAAACATAAATGTGAAATGATAGCCGAGTTTAATATTATGATATATACCTTGATTGTTTCGACTTCTACGACAAAAGAGATGAGATCTAAATGGGTGCCAAGTTCAATGGTCTGTCCTGAAATGTATTTATAACAATATAAAATATCATTTCTTCTTATAACTTAGGATAATATACTGTAGCCTAAGTTCTAACTTGGCCAGTTCTCATATACCAATTATTACTTTCGATTGCTAGTTACTATTAATATTAAAATAGGAACCGACAAATAACATGTTTAGAACTTGCGAAGGCTACAGTATATTTCGTATATGAAAACTAGCCAAGTTAGACCTTAGGCTACAGTATATTATCCTAAGTTATAAGAAGAAATGATATTTTATATTGTTATAAATACATTTCAGGACAGACCATTGAACTTGGCACCCATTTAGATCTCATCTCTTTTGTCGTAGAAGTCAAAACAATCAAGGTATATATCATAATATTAAACTCGGCTATCATTTCACATTTATGTTTTTGATGGGATATCATTACTTTTTGTACATAAATTATACGAGGTACTTATTTATAACTAAATTAATACCAAATTATTTTTGATAAATTACTGTATTTTCGTATATTTACGGGGTATAATTGTCTTTTTTTTGTGTTATTTTCTATATTTTCTTGTAACTTTTAAATGTTCAAGTGCATTGCCAATTCAGTATCAGGAATTTTTGGGCAAATCGGGGCGGTATAACGTCCACAGATGGTTGTACTCTACAATAGAGCTCTCGTGACTTGGATCTAAATTGTTAAGACGTACTCCATCTAAGGTTTTAACTCTGGAGAGTCCAACGTAAACCTGCCCTTTATTAAATATAGAGGAGCCTATGTTGAGAAGAGGACTGCCAAAACTGAGGCCTTGTGATTTGTGGATAGTAATAGCATATGTTAAGCAAATACGGAATTGTTCTCTTTCAACATATACATTATTTAATATCTGAAATTTCGTATTGACACGTTATAGTTAGTAGTAGTAGACGATTATGTAACAAATTGACTGTTATCTATTGAATTCTCAAGAAAACAATTTGTTACCAATGAGTTCTCATTCTCGAGTTAACTATACATTCCTACTTATAACTATACTAAAATTGTTATTAATTTTTGGTTTAAACTATTGTCTATACCATACGTATTTACTAAAATAATGTAATAATAATATAATCACAAATATATAAGTATAATTTAAGAAAGCTATGAATTTAATAAATCGCAACCTTATAGGTTAGATACAGAGAAACAAAACATTGAGTTTTATCGCACCGCTCCCACACGGCGCCGCCGCGGCGCCCTATACCGAAATGCCTATTATTTAATAATTATTTATAAAAATAATGATTTTACACTATCGATGTGCGCTAAATATTGAAACAATAATTAATACCAAATCTCAGTTAATACCATAATAAATACGAAATTCGACTATACTCCTAGTTATAAGTACGAGTATATTTTAGACAGAATCTAAATTATAGCAACTAGTGTTTACCGCTCAATGCAATATTTGAAGTTTGCTAGTTATCGACACTGATGTGATGGGGTCAACGTAAATTGGTAAAGATCGACGTTTTCATATAATATTACTTTCCGTCCAGTACAAGATGAGATTTTTCGCCAGGGATCAATGTCAATTGGTGGCTATCGACGTTTTCATAGAATTTTAGTATTCGTCCAGTATAAGTTGAAATAGAATCAATTAAAGTGAAAAATTGTAGTAAAATGATAACAATTTACCAGTTTCAGATTTTTTCCTTTATATTCACCTAATTACCTATCTGCATGCCAAATTTGAAGTTCCTAGGTCATCTGGAAGTGGGTTATAATTTTGATCTATAGTTGATCAGTGATAAAAATGACGATTTTTGGACATTAATATCTAAATAACCGTTTGAGATATGTTTATGAAATTTGGAACACATATTTATCTCGCAAGTCTCAATATATGAACCAAATTTGACAGATTTATGTGAAAGAGTTTTTGAGTTATGAGGGGGTCAAAAGTGGCTCCAAATGGTTCGTGTAAATATACACACGGTGCTGCAGGCCAGTTTACTTGAAACTCGGCTTGACACGCTGCCGCGTGTCTAGATCTCACAAGATACAATTTGAAGCCTGCCACCCGTAGTGCATTCGTGATGACTAAACACTTTCACAGACGCGGATAACAGCATTACAATAGTACAAAACAGTCGTCATTGTAAAAATAAATAACAAAATATAACTACACTTCGTCGTATTTACTAATGATACCGAATTGCCCATTTTTTTCAAATACGAATATGTTATACATTAAAAATCAGGTGATCGTGGTTTGATGACAAACCCGCGATCATAGGAAGGTTAGGCGATGTGTTGAACTGCCCTAATAGGGTCATTATTACTAAATCACAATGAAGATTTATGAAATACATAATTTAATATTTCATTAATTGAATTAGTACTTACGAAATCCTGAAATATCGGATCTGGACAATAAAATCATTAATGAACGAATCGTTTTTATTAGATACCTAGATATAGAAGGTATCGTAACAATCTCGCAAATCAACTTCGATATTAAATTTGTTAATTTACAATCCAATTTCATCAAGGTATTAAGCTCTTTGTTTCAATTTCATGTAACAGTTTTCAACAACACAATTGTTATTTTTATTAATTGATTGGATTAAAATGTACGATATTTGGATATCTCTATATATTAACTTTTTTAGAAGATTATTAACAGAAGAATACTAGTATTTTTTTATTATGAATATCTTTTTATCTTTATATTTCGTTTTACCTTAGAAATTGCTACATCTATTTGAAAAAATATTTATCTATTTAAAAGGTATAGTTATAATGGCATTCTAAAGTGACAAATTGTATCAATAAGCATATACCAAACTCACAAAAGCATTGAGTACCCGAGCAATCACAGAATGAGTTACTATTTGTCTAAGTGATTGGCATTAAAAGTGCCATAAAGTTTATTGTTAACTAACACTACGTATTATAAAATCTATAATTCTAGAAGAGGTAAAAGTTGTCTGCACATCTGTTAATACGCAAACATTTTGGAATTATTGTACTGAATTCATAAAGTAATTTATTAAATATGGGCTAAAGAAAGCTAGGAAGAAATATCGTTTACAAAATTACATTTTACAACTAGATTCCAAGATGGGGTATTTATGTGAAAATTGACGTGCCCTTAAACTATATTTATGTCAACAGCTTTACCAACCCCGTATAAAAGGGTTGGAGGTCGCAGGCTAATCAAACAACATACGGGAAGTAACTCACAAGTCAAATTTGCATTTTAGTTAACTTGTGCTCTATTTTGCTTTAACGGTTTTGTTCCAGCAAATTTTATATAGACTAATTGCACAAGCAATAAATATACTAACAATGTTAAATTTACCATACGTTTAAAAAGTTGCCTGAGTTAGTTAATTAAACCTCTTTTTCACATTTTCCTACGAATCACAGACAATATCTATTATTTTAAGTATATCTTAGGATAACACACATAAGATGGTGTGACATTTTCACCACTTCCAAGCTGAGCAGAGCTTGTGTTATGGGTACTAAATAAAAATAAATAACTGATATAAATATATATATATACATATATTTTATACATATTTTATACAAATTTTGTACCTACGAGGAATTGAACCTGCGATCGTCGGAAGTAAGACGGTGTGCTAAATCATAGGTTACTATGTTTCGAGGTCCTGCAAATAGTTTTTCGAATTGTAATCTGTTTGTCTGTGCACAAACGCATCATAATTCCAGAATTTTCTTCCTAATGGGATTTTCACTGCTGTACTTTAGCAAGTTTCGCGTAACATTTAGTGTTTGTTTCATTCAAATCGGTTCAAAAGCCAAAAAGCTATTAACAGCTATTATTCGCTATTATTCCGTATGCTACAAGTTCAGTTAAATTAGTTCTTAGATACTAT